CCCTGATTTAACAACTAGCTGGATACTGAAGGATGCTAAGATGTATTTAACAACTAGCTGGAGTACTGAACGATGCTAAGATGTATTTAACAACTAGCTGGAGTACTGAAGGATGCTAAGATGTATTTAACAACTAGCTGGAGTACTCGTCCCCTGATTTAACAACTAGCTGGATACTGAAGGATGCTAAGATGTATTTAACAACTAGCTGGAGTACTGAACGATGCTAAGATGTATTTAACAACTAGCTGGAGTACTGAACGATGCTAAGATGTATTTAACAACTAGCTGGAGTACTGAAGGATGCTAAGATGTATTTAACAACTAGCTGGAGTACTCGTCCCCCTGATTTAACAACTAGCTGGAGTACTGAAGGATGCTAAGATGTATTTAACAACTATCTGGAGTACTCGTCCCCTGGACGGAAGTTATGTAAATTCATGATTAATGAAAGGTTATCTTAGAACATGAAAAGTTGCTTCCCTTATATGTAAAAAACTGCTATTTCATAAGCACACTAAAATTACTTCGAGACCTTATCAAAAGAACCCAATTGACCTCCTATAAGACTCCAAAAAACCTTCATGCCAAATTTGGTGAAGATCCATCCACATGGGGGCGAAGAAGTGGTAAAAAATGCAAAAAACGCCCATAAAAACTGCAAAACTGAAAATCTGTATGTGCCTCCGCTTGGACCAAATGAACCTCCAGACTAATTTTGGTGAAGATCTATCCACATCCTGAGAATTAGTTACATGGACATAGAAAACAGACAGTACTATAATATTTATATAGATTCTAACCTGGAGATTACACTATTCATGGAAATAAAATAGATCCAATGAAAAGCCGTTTAGTTAAGAAATATTTGTCAATCAAAGAACAGTGAGTACTAGTAAATGTTACATGTAGCAGAGAAGATGAGACAAAAGAACTAGTCAAATATGATCTTATGATCCAACGCTGCTTGAACTTTAAAGTTGAGGAATGCTTTAAAAAAAAAAGACAGGAACTTACAACAAAACGTTTCAACGGAACTATTGCACATAATTTTGATTTTGATGTTCCCCAAGTTAAAGTTGTGTTTAATACAGTTTTTGATTAGAATACCCTTAATCATAGAATTAAAACAATTTTCGAAACTTACATCTCAGATCAAGAATGCAATTAAAATTGAAAGGTCAAAACCGAGTTTGTTAAAACACATGATGCAAATCTTAAAACATTTATAACAAACAAGAAAGATTTATTCAAAAGCTAATAAGAGAACAAAAGCGAATAATATTTCGTTAACTTTTTTGCTCTAAGTTAACCGGTTGGCGTGATCCAAATAAGTTTTGGAAGACGTTTATAAGAGTCGTTAATGATAATAATAATGAAAGTAGGGTTAATAATCTGTATTAAAATAAAGTGATATTTTAGCTATTACTAATGAGAAGAAAACGTTAATATTTAGAATAGATCATCCGGCTTTTAATTGATCTGGGAATGAATATGTAAATGACAGAATATATTTTAATGGCAGACCTTTGGTTAAATTTCCTGTTGAATAAGTAGCTATGTTCTCAATCAGATGTATTCTTGATATTCTGATATTTCAGCCATAAGTGTCGTTGAGCTGAAAAGATGTTCGAAGGAAGCAAAAAATAAAATTCTTAGAGAAATTAATTCCTGTTTAAGGTGATTCAGGAGTGTAAAATAAATCATATAATTCATATAACTCGTCGTTTTATCTTGGTGTATACCCAGACAGTTGTAACAAACTGTTGTAACAATAATACCCAAACAGTTGTAACAAACTGTTGTAACAATAATACCAAAACAACTGTAACAATAATATCCAAACAAGTGTAATAATAATAATAATACCCAAATAGTTGTGAAAATACTACCCAAACAGTTGTAAGGATACTACCCAAACAGTTGTATCAATAATACCAAAACAACTGTAACAATAATACCCAGACAGTTGTAACAATAATATCCAAACAAGTGTAATAATAATAATAATACCCAAATAGTTGTAATAATACTACCCAAACAGTTGTAAGGATACTACCCAAACAGTTGTATCAATAATACCAAAACAACTGTAACAATAATACCCAGACAGTTGTAACAATAATATCCAAAAAGTGTAATAATGATACCCAAATAGTTGTAATAATACTACCCAAACAGTTGTAATAATACTACCCAAACAGTTGTACCAATAATACCAAAACAACTGTAACAATAATACCCAGACAGTTGTAACAATAATATCCAAACAGTTGTAGCAATAATACCAAAACAACTGTAACAATAATACCCAAACAGTTGTTGGGAGAATCATAAAGAATGCATTTTGAAATAATTTGATAAACTCTGATTTGTGATTTTTTCAGGAAAAAATAGATGCAAAAATCTGACCATCTCATTAGATTAGCAGAGATTATTTACAATAATTTTAGTGGTGACAATATTACAGCTTCTATTTTCCTGGGTGTTGAAAATCCTTTTCATTCAGAACAGCTTAATGGTTTAGTTTTTAAAAGTATTATTAAATTATTTATTAATTATTAAATTATTATTTTGCTTATCTAAAATGGGTCAAAAGCTTTTTAAAGATAGGATTGTTAACATTAAGGAACATAATGATATTTCTGAAAGTTTCAATCTTATCGAGATTTTCTTCATGGGACTGTCATAAGCCATTATTTTATACACTGTATATACGTAATGTCCTTAGGAAGTCTTTAGTCGGATAATTATATTCAGTTTGTTAATGACCTAGTTGGATTGGTGTACTTGTGGAGTCAGAAAAAAAAAACGGTTTCCTCTGACTTAATTGACACTCTGAAACAATGTTTGTTTGTTGTTAAGCGCAAAGCTGCACAGTGTGCTATCGGTGCTCTGCTCACCACAGGTATCGAAGCCCGGTTTTTAGCTTTATAAAACCTCAGACTTATTGTTTAGCCACCATGAGGCCTGAAACGCTGGATGAGTTCAATTAATTACTTTTTATCGTTGGTGGTAAGATTTCTTTATATCTTCTTAAGAATATTTATTTTGGTTTTATTATGTTTGATTATAATTATTATTTTAATTAAATGTTTTTCATTAATTGTTACGTCATATTGTTTTAAATTATGATTTTATTATTTACATTTTTTGTATAAAATATTGTTTTGTTTATTTATATTAAGATAATTAATTGTCTTATGTTTCATTAAATTGCGTTCCCCCCTCACAAGTCTTACACTTTCTCCTACTTATACGAGTATTTATCGACTCTATTAGGTCGTCAAAAAATTAATGTCGCGTTTCTGAGCACTTTCATTAATCACCTCCCAAAAAAACCGTACATCACGTATAATAGTTAAACGAACCGCCTAAAC